TGCCAAAGGCATTTTCAACCACACGCCTTGCCCTGGACGGCCTGTAGTTGAAGATCTTCTGCTGTTGGACCATGTTACGACGGCCATAGGGCTTCATCATGTACGTCCTAATGGCGAAGGCATCGTCTCCCACGAAGAAGTACGGCATAGGGTGCTCTTCATCATCATGGGGAAGAGGAGCTGGATCTGGGATGTCTAAAGTGCCAGCTTCAATGCACTCCTTCAGTTCACTGTTGTTGTAGATCTGGGCATCAGACTGATTGCCAACGCCACCCACATCGATCCACATGAACTGGTACTTTGAATCTACCAGAGCCATCAGGACAACCGAGAAGAACTGCTTGTAGTTGAAGTAAAGGCTGCCTGATTTGTTGGGCTTCTGGAGATGGATGTGCTTTCCAGGCTCCCAGACAGTGAGGAAGATTCCATCTGGCTTCAAAATCACCTGTAACCTCAAGCCAGCCATAATTGGTTGTGGGGAGGGAGATGACTTCTGCAGCATACTCATCCACTATCGCTCTGGCTAAATCAGGGACAAACTTCTGGATGGTTTCCTTGCCCACTTGGAAGTTGTAAGACAGCTCGGCATAGGTGGCCCCAGTGGCGAGATGGCGCAGGTAGAGAGACAACTTGAGACCAGGGGGAATGGCCTTCCTGAAGTGGGTGTCCTTCTGCAAGTGGGGTGTAAGCCTGACCAACAGGCCATCAAACATCTCTGGGGACACCCTGGTGTAGTTCTTGAACTTCCGCCTGTCATTCTCCCTCAGCTCTTCCATCAAAGTGTGGTACTGTCCACGTTCGACCCTCAACTGTGGGTGGAGCATGGGTCTAAACCACCAGTTGTGCTTCCTTTTCTTCTTAGGAGGCTCTTCTTCTTCAGGATTGGCCAGCATAAATTGATAGGCAGTGGCCACCTCAGCATCTCTCATCATCTCCTGATGGAGCAGCATCATCACTCCAACATTATCAAAAGCCTCAGACATATCAAAATTGTAAATATTTAGTAGAGATGTTGTTCATACAGCAGCTGAGGAGGGTCTGAACCAGGTAGCCGATGGCCGGTATTTATATTGTCGGCAAGTAGCGCCAAGCGGCGGCAAGTTCAAACCAATTTGGCGACCTTTGGCACAAACTAATCACCAAGTGGCGCAAAGTAGCCGTCTATTGGCGCGAATGGCGCCAACAGGGTGACTTTTGGAATCAATTGGCCGTGTAATGGCGCAAACTGGCGCAAACTGGCGCAAAATTTTGGAGCAAGCCGGGTGGCATTTGGCGCACGCCATATGGCACCCAGTTTATTCCACTTGGCGACACATGCCGAGCGGACATTAATTCGGCGCCACAGCGAGCCACTACGCGCCAATCACATAATCTTTGGCGCGAACTGGCACCAACTGGCGTTGGCCCAGTGGACTCCTAGCATTATGAAAACAAATGTGTATGCGTCCTGAAAAGGGGGAATGGAACAAATATTGCAATGACATAAAGATACAATGCAAATAGTGAAAATGATATTTATTATAACTCTACGGCATTTAAAACTTAAATGACATATATCTGTACAAAATGATATAATTGTAAACATTTAGTTATCAGGTTATGGCAAGTGATCAGTCTGGTGCTAGATTCCCGAAATTGTGATAAAAGCAAACATGAATGTTATCACAGACGTCCAAACAATAATAATAATAATAATAATAATAATAATAGTCCACTCCAAATTTTATTAAACCGAAACGGAAATTCTTTTTGCCCAATTGATCGTGAGCCCGGCAGCCACTGAGCAGCGCCAGATCGACGTTGCTCTATCCCTTATTGTTGAACGCCAAGCAAGGTAGCAACAACTCCCATCTTTTAACGTCTTTTGGTATGACGCGGCCGGGGTTCGAACCCACGACCTTCCGGTTGTGAGGCGGACGCTCTACTGACTGAGCCAACACTCCGGTATGATGACTCTTTCATTATGAAGGGATAATTTGTTCTAGCGCCACCTTGTGACTGATTTAGTAATAAACCACATGAAAAACTAAGCAGTTGATACCCAGGGGCGCGTTCCTAAAAACCGTCATAAGTCTAACTTCTTGACTATTAGACCATGGGCCGAGTAGTGAATATCTCCCTATTTCTTCGTTTTCGTAACCCACCTCTAGTAACTACCCAATTTTTTTGTCTGAGAGGAGATAAAAACTCATAGAATAAAAATTCATAACTCGGCAAAGCCGAAAGTTGCACACTAATTAGTATTCATAATAAATAGAAATTAAGCATATCAACAGCGCCCTCTACGTCAATAAAATGAAAGACATGTAGAAACTTATGGGGCAAATGACAACTGCAAAGTTGTGATAAATATATGTTTTGTATAAAAGCAAAAATAATAATAATAATATTAATAATAATGATGATAAAAACAACATCAATATCAATACTAATAATAATAATGATTACTAATAATATTTATATTAATAATAATCATCATTATCATCATCATTATCATCATCATTATCATCATCATTATCATCATTATTATCATCATTATCATCATCATCATCATCATCATTATCATTATCATCATTATCATCATCATCATCATCATCATCATCATTATCATCATTATCATCATCATCATCATCATTATACATCATAATCATTATCATCAAGCTTCATTTTACATCTTGTGTCATTTTTTTTTTCACATTACACCTACTCAAGAAGCTTTCACTGACAGTTCACTAAGTCTTTGAACTTCATAGTCATGATGCAATCATATCGCTTGGTAATGCATTCATAATTACATGAAACAATTCAATAAATTCAAATCATATTCTCATTGTCACATGGAATTTTTGTATTCATTTATTTTCAATTTACACAAGCTACAGTACTATAACATAATTACTTTTGGGTTGTACATGACGTCTTGTAATCCTTTTGAGATAATCCAACATATTCAATGCATAATTTTGACTAATGAAACTGACTTCAATAGTTACAACCTCTGTTAATCTCATTAACTTTTACATCCTAGAAATATCTTGATCTACACATTTGTTCAACCACTCCAAAAATATCCAATCGTTGAAGTTGAAAATGTTATACGCTAAATTTTCTTTTCTCTCTACTTAAGCGAGGTCCATGGGGGGAAATTACTTTTCAGAGTCGAACAGTCATGCTTTAAAAAACTCATACCAAGAGCATATTGATTTAAATATATCACTAAAAATTTACATAACAGGACAGTTAATAAGTGAGGATATGAGCTTAAATTGCACAGTAATCATGGTATATAATGGCGATATTATCCAGGCAACAGATATGACAGATGAGTCTGTAGAAGAAATATCCGAAAATACGAGACAAAGTTTGTAATATTGTTAACTCATGTACACCTTTTGTTTTTAACTATTTCACCAGCGACATTCTTCTTATCTCAGTATAATTTCTTTTATAGATGTTTGGAACATCCAAATGTTTTTTCTTAATTACAATCAAACAACCCCTGCAGTAACAAAAGTAGTAAGTTACAGTTGATAAAAATATTGCTAGATTACTTTGCTAACTATAGCTCTATGACATCATTAATTTTTTTTCCAGAAAAATCTTAAACCCTGCAACACTCGATAGGCAGACAATTTGGTAGCGCTCACTTGCTCCTCAGGACTGGCCACATTTTAAGAACTTTTCGATTATTGATTTTAGTCAGAGTGTTCATATGATCCTGCAAAGGTGGATAAGAATACTGATAGTCGTGTGTACGACCTTCAGCCAAAAAGTACCCAATTTAGGAATCACAAAACATGCTGAGACAAAGCAAAAAAAAAAAACATCTTTCCATTTCAGGCGAAAAACTTTGAGCATCGCTTGCAAGAGGTAAATATATTAATATTCAAATTAGGGGTTCAAGTGACAGCATCCATAATAAAACTGATGCGCGCTAATTTGACATTGACATTAACTTTGACATTTCGCGTAACCTACTTTGCTATTCGTATTCAATGAGCAAGGGTGGGCAAGTGGGGTAGCAGCAAAAAATTAAATGTAGAAATATTCCCCTTTCCACAGAATGGATTTATGCCACTGAATAAAATTTTTACACATCCTTGAAGCAGGAAAAATTGGCCTATCAAACACTAAACCAAAGCATACCTAATTATATAGGGTCACATAACAATTACTTAATTAATTCATACATTTCAATCAATTAACCATCTGTTCAAAGAAAATACAGATAAATCTTGTGATACTGCTTTACTAGTTTTTCTTAAACTGTGAGATAAGGATATAAAAAATCACCAGCAGAAGAAATTATTTTTGTAGAAGATTTCCAGAAATTAGAATATGTGAAACAGTCAAATTAAATTCTTCAATAGGATACATGTACAGTGTATATGTTGTAGATCATAAAAATAAACTTGAAATGGTAAATGGCAATATATAATTTTATATGGTTATGACTGTATGAAGAATACTGACTGGCAACTTTTGATGTCACAGCTGATTCCCAAACTATTAACCAAAATAATCATTCAGAGATTTTGTTAGTAAAATATGGAATAATTACATACACAGTAATTACCTCCTGCCTTTGTGTAAGATGAAGTAGTAAACAAGTATACATGTAAATGTATATATATCCATCGCTTTGTGATACAGGTATAATAAGTAAGTTTGACACCACAATTATATTTTGATTTTATGGAAGAAATGTTGTTCCTTGAGCAAGACATCCATATCAGTTGCAAACGTACACTAATATAAAATGCAGTGTACCAACCCTCTATTATTTGGACACAATGCTTCAATGATTTGCAATATGAATATGATATTCTGATATACTTCTTCTGGTTCGTTATCTCAAATTCATTTGATTGCTGTCTAAAGAAAAATTAAAATCAAATGAGACACAAATATGCACATGAGTTGAATTGCGCTAACAAGATGAATTCTACACGTCTTCATCTTCAGTGTCTGTGTCTATATCTAAGCATCTTTCATCTTTCACCTTGCAGTTTGTCTTCTTGCAAATGCAGTGGGTTAGTTCTAGCAAACTGCTAGGGGCAGGGGGTTGTTCTCCCCAGACAATATCTATTTCTCCATCTTCCACTTTCCAACCATGACCATGTGGACTTGGAATGTCAGGGGTCTGCTCTAGACAAAATTTGTGTGTACTGTGGCCTGATAATTAGCTCTCCTTCATGCCTCCTGATAGCACGGTTGACCTCTGTAATGTTGCAGAAATTGCGATAGCATTCAGCATGGTAACCTGGAACGGCACGATGTCTCCTACGTTTGAAAAAATAATAAAAGATAGATAATTCATAACAATTAAGAATTTCTGACAGTTTAAAGATAATGCTGCAATTGCCGAGGATACTAGATGTGCATTTCTTGTGATAAGGAGGAAATAGCTTGCTATGCTTGACAAGCAGTGAAGTTTAAACTTGTTAGGTGGAAAACGGTGACATTCCAAGGTAAGATTATGTTTTTTTCTTCACCATGCCATTGTTGAGGATGGCTGAGTGCCTGTCTAGATTTAATAAATTCCAATTCCTATTTCCAGTTGGTCATGCTAGTCCATGCCAAATAATTACACCCCCTAAATAATCTTGAGTATCTCCATTCTCCAGTGAACCTTGATGAATATACGAAAACAATACAAGACTAAGACTCTAAAATTGACTTAACTCGGACCAATTTAATCTGTCTCTCGCTTGATAACCTCTTATTATTCTGTCCGCCTTAAAAAAAAAAAATAACATACGATTGCCATCGGTATAGACCTCTAGATGATGATCTATGCCTTAGTTATGATATATGGCCAGGGCAGGGCCTAGGCTCGTACTCCAAGATCGGTTGAACTTTTTTAGACCCCTCCCCAGGACGTTGATCAATTACATGTACATCACTACATGTATGTAAAAAAAAAAAACAACATAAAACTCTGTCTACGGATCAGACTACAACCCAACCATATTTTAATAACGGCCACCGAACAAGAAGCAGATAATATTGGTCTTAGTACTGTGACAGAGGCCATGGCCTCAGGAAAAAAATTAACAAGGTGAATTCAGTTAGTTTCACTGTTTATACTAGTCTAGGTGAAGGTCTACAGACTTAGTTACTGACTTAGTTTGGCTGTGAGATTACATTGTTTTATAGTCCCTAGATTATTGTCACATGTAATTTGACAAATAAAGCCAATAGCCCTCCCACCCCTTACAAAAAAAAAAACACTTACCTCCCACTCCTTTCGTCTTGATCATTATCACAGAGCTGTTCTCTGTCGATGTCTTCTTGCTCTTCAGTAGCAGTAGGCGTTTGTATACTGTCCCAGTCATAGCGATCTGCGTTGTGTGCAATCTTACTTTCGATGGTATTTTCCGCTTTTTCCCATATATTTGCACATTCCTTGAATTTTTTGAAAGACTTCTACCTAAGAGGGATAACTCTGCTATGAGTTGCAACAACGTGCATGCAACAAAATCCTGTAATTGCACCCTCACAATCGTCGGCAGATGCGCTGCTGGTAACATCAACGTCCGACGATGAATACATCGCCATGTTCGCTGTATGCGCCTACATGAAACAAACCATGTGATTGGTTGATATGCGTGGAATAATCCGATGCCCACATGAAAGAGGAAATGTAATTGGTTTACATTTTCGAGATTTTGGACTCAAATTTCACGGTTTTTTCATCTTTTCTAAATAATGGTGGGGCTTCAGGAATGCCGAGTTATCTTTTGTGCATCCACACATATTTTTGTATCATACTGTCTCAGTAAATATTAGTTACTTTCGACGGGTCACGAAAGTTAAGAATTTTGGCCTATGGCCCATGGTCTATATCCCATTGAAACGCGTGTTACTTCTAACACACGTTTCAATGGGATAGTCAAGAAGTTAGACTTATGACAGTTTGTAGGAACGGGGCCCACAAGCCAACGCGTAAGTCGTGCATTTCTTATCGTCCATAAGATATCATAGCTATTAACATTTGAGAGTTGTAAATTGGCCGCAACGGTTATGTCACTGTTATGTAGTGGTGTAAAATTTCCCCGTTTGTTACAACACTACAACAATACGATTTTTTCAATTTTTTAAATTGAATTACTCTGAGGAATCTTTTCTTTTCAAATTAGGTAATCTTTATTCATACATACAGGACAGGAGTGAATCTAGAAGATTACCTGGGAAGGGGGTCGAAAAACGTGGGGGGGGGGGGCGGGTGGAGATTGAAGAAACTAATCATTTACAAATGCAAAAAGGGGAACTTCTCACTGTTTAAAAGATCTTTTTAAAGGATCATTTATAGACAGAATGGTATATATTATTTCGTTTTGTGGTAGCCTAACAAAACAGTATTCGTCATATTCGGCCCAACTCGATCCGGGTTGGCTACTCTGTCTTATATTCAACGGCACACAAAAAGTGATTGTTGTCGAGCGCCCTCTCACTATGTTCGTCGCTCTAGAAAGATTAGGCTCCGATTAGCTTTTCGAAAAGAAAAGACATGTGACCAGTCACCAACAAAAAAAACACACGGAAATATCACATAGTGAGATTTGAAGCTAGAGCTCATTAACATTATTTTTCTTAGCATGATCAGCTTTCAGTTGTAAGCTCTTCCTGCAAGTTATACTTTTTTCTATATTTTCAAGTAACTAAAATTCAAGTGAGGAGTTGTAGGGGGAGAAGATCGATGTTCTATAATGAAATTATGATAAATTTGTGATGAAACACAAGACAAACAATTTCCTTACATGAACATTTACAAACCTGTTAAGCCCATCAAGTCCGTAGTCGTTTTTTCTTCTTAACAATCAAACGTAAATGCTCATGAATATCAAATAAATGTAATAAGTATAGTGTATAAACGCAAGAAAATAAAATATGATGAAATACATATGACAAAAACAATCTTGAAAGAAACAGAATGAGCTGTAAAAAGTGTGTAATAAATGAGAAATGAATATTGACCATCAATTTAAGTGCACAAAGTGCTAATTTGAATGATAGAAGTCCCCCCCCCCCCCCACTCAGTGTTATTTAGGGTACGCATAGGAATGTTCCTTCCCTTTGAAAATACACCCTAAGTCAGGTGTGTAAAGTCACTGCGGCCGATTTTGTGTATATTACGAGCCGGACTTTGTAGCGTGAAAAGTACCCCTCTTTGGATTTTGGGAACATGAATGCGGTCTCTTTGTTACCGGAGTGGGGGGAGGGGGAGCTAGAAGTACACCGTCGAGAAGTCAGAAAATCGTGTTGCGCCGAATCGAATGACTAAAAAGCGAAAGAAGCACATTGTTCATTGTTTTCCATGAAACATAATAGATTGTAACGAAAACTTTATAGATTTGAAGAAGGAATACAAACCCGATATATACCTGACAGGACTAAAACCGTCGAATTTGAACGCGAGACAAATGAATTTTAATGAAAAACTCGCGAATTTGGCCGGGAAATTAATCTGAGGAAATAGAATTAGTCTCAAAATATGTCTCTCAAGAAATGAACAAAAGAAAAGAAAGATAACGTTGCATTGATAGATTATCCCCAACTATTGATATAAGCCCACGCTTATATCAATAGTTGGGGTCCATACCCTCCATAATATCATTAACAACCTCTTTGCGAACAGCTAGCGGTAAGGAGCATACACAAATTCATACATTTTTTAGAGACCATATTTGTAATATAATCAAATTGAAAGCACATATTTTTGTTAAAGGTAAAGACCAGTTCTGGTCATGCGATTGCATTGTGAAAGAAACGTTGTGGAATCAATCAGAAAAGGTTGATAATCTAGCATATCAGTATTGGAATGTATTGGAATAAAGTGTACTGCAATGTTCTTGAATCATCAAAATTATAAGAAATTTGGCCCAGTCTTGGTAAAGTTACGAGTACTGTACACATAAAGATGTATATGGGACTACGCGATGTCTATCCGGTCCGGATAGATATGATATTTACCAGATATATTAATTAGTAGGCGGTTTTCCCGCAACATTTGTATCATCACGTTTTAGTCAAAACATATTCTTTCACATGATTGGCAATAAGAGCTTCCATTTCATTTTTGAGAGGGGGAGGGGAAAGGGGGGGGGGGGTGCTTCTTTACATATTGCTCCGTTTAGTCTCATTTCACAACGCCCCCTATCGTCAGAGCATGTTCAGAGTCAGCAGCCTAACATGTTAGCCTATGGACGTTTTTTTTTTAAATCGTTAAAAATTCATTTTTTGTTTAAACGAAAAGCACATCCACCCCGACGTACGTTATTACTAGCTCTTTCATTGGAGCCCTCATGTCTCATTGACTTTTGAAAATTCACCCACCATAATTTTTCAAAATAGGTTACAAGCTCGTCTTTGCCTATAATACACATATGAAAAAAGTCTAACTTTGGACTCAGTTTGCCAAGCGATTTGAAGATTATAGGTCGAGCACACGAAACATAAAAAGCATGAATTATCATAGATCACTTCTGCCTATTTCATTATGTCCATTTCATCCAACCCCCCACCGTAATTTTTCAATTTAGTAAAAGCAAACATTTAGCCGAGGTAAGCAAAAACATGAATATTCATGACACACCATGGACTATTCGGTTATTAACAGAGGGGTGCAATCAGTCATCACGTCAAACTCCCCTAATTGCCACCAAGTATTTCATATAATTATATAGTTTGGTATGTTTCTTTTACTCACTCATGAATTATTAAATATCAATGATGGTTTAAAGAAATGTAAAAGAAATGTTAGTTGATATTAATTAACAAAGTAATTTATATTTAGCAAAGCAATCTCACATACAAAATTACTATCACGTGTCGTCTGCTACGCCGATTGTCGCCTGCTTCGTTAAAGGCACATATTTATCGTTTGGACTGTAAGGTATACCAGGGAGATTTGTATTTTCCGGCAGTACAACGTATAGCAGGAAAATGTTGTATATGCGGATCCTTGATTACGTAATGGAAGTGGCGAGGCGGTATGATTTGAATAACTTAGGCAGGTGAAAGTTATTGTATTGAGAAGGGAAGGAATGTTCGGAAAGGCATAGAGAGGGAAGTGGGCGTGGTAGCCATTCTAGCATTGCACCTACATCAGTACGATAATACACCCGACGGCGCGGGGTACCCTGCAACACAGTGGAACATTCTAAGAAATTAAAAAAATATCTACAAGATGGACCTCTTGAATCATCTGAGAAGTAACTTACCCTATTCTGATGACTTCAATGAATGTCAAGATAACAATGGCTGCTTTTCCATCCAAAAATAAAACTAGTTTGCAATTAGAAATAGTCAATTTATCGATAATTTCACAAAATATATTTGCCGCCGCATTCAATATGACGTCATTGACAGCTGAAATGCTAGTTTGGTAGTGACGTCGAACGAGCTATGTTTGTGCTGCAGTGATCGAGCGAGCGAAAATGAGACAATCGGAGCAATATGAATAATCTCTCATTCATCAGGTACGAATAATTGTATTTCAATAAATGCGAAATGCATAATTTTGTTGCTGGGTTGTACAATTAGTATAGCTTGTCCAACCTCATGTATTCAATTATCAGTTTGACTATTGAAATACAATTATTCATAATTTGTGAATTAATAATTTTTAACGAGGAGCCTAACAAAGATTTGCGTTTTAATTTAATTAAATAACGAAAGTGGTATATTGTTTGATCATTTAAGATTTCTCTAAACTAGTCACTTTAAAGCAAACATAAATAATGACAATATAAGCAGTTTGCAATTGGTTACTATGCCTACCAATAACTACTCATTTATTGTTTTACCAGAATACACTTGAAAGTATTGTAATAGAATAGGCCTACTTTTCTATATCTAGCTGGCTTCTGTATTTACAAACAGTCACCAATACCACTATATACGGCATGTATTTTCAATAGTAACAACACCTTTTCTTGTGAAATATCACACTTTATTGTGATATATTATTCAACAAATATCTGAAAATGTATTATTTGTTCAAATACTGACATAAAACATAACCATATTTCAGACTTTGCTGTTCCTTTGGCTTTTTTTCTGGCTTTTTTCTTCTTTCTCTCTGGCTTTTTTGTTTTTGTTTTTTTATCCACTGTTTGTTTTTAATTTGTTTACCTGTCTTTCAGTAACAGAATAAATGGAAAAACCAAATGATAATTTTTACTTTTAGGGAACTTATTTTACAAGGCCCTTTGGGCTTATTTTAGTTCCCCTTTTCACATTTTTGACTGGTAAATTTGGTGTCTTTGATACTGTTAACATGTATGATTGCATGTAATTTGTTTGTATAATGATTTGTTTGTGTAATGATTTTTTTTTTTATATGAAGATGGAAATAAATGAACAAATGATGTATTACAACAAAAAGAAGTTATTTCAATAATGCATGCGTATATAGTATTAATGATATATGACATTATTAAGGCATCTGTCTACATCATGCTGTTTGTTTTTTCATACAGATACTGAAAAGCAATGACAGTACGATTGATGAGGCTAACAAGTTTTGAATATTTGTTCCACATCAAAAGAATCTTAAAGTCACAACTAAGTAACAAATTCACTCGTCGATAGGTCTGCAACTATTTGTTCTCTACTTTTTCATAATATTTAGACCCCTAGATAAGCTGGAGGTCAAGTGCTTTGACGTCACTACCTTCAATCAAACGGTTGACGTACACATTCATTTTGCATGAAACACACTCTTCCAATATTGGGTTTACTTGGT